AAAAAAAATTCTCATTCCCTTTTAATGCCCTTTAACCATAACATACGGTAAGGGTGGGAAATAAATTTTAGGCAATTTACGTGAGCCTCTTTTGTTGATTTTTGACCATTTGAAAGAAGGCTGGTCGCCAGCTTTTTATCTCCTTGCGTTTCCCAATTTAGTAATTAAGATTAATTGTAGTATTATTTAATTAATTTTTGTAGTACCGATAATGATCCTTTTAATTTTTGCTTTTGGTTTACCTTTTTTTTTTTTTTTTTTTTTGAGAAATTGCTTTTGGTTTACTTTAGTTTGGTTTTTGGGGTATGAATCTTTAAATAAATACAAGTAAATAAAAATAATTTAAAAATTAAGCCGCTTAAATTACTTATTAGTTAATGATTTAATTAATTTAATAATTATTTTTTTACTGAAAATAAAAAATTTTAAATTTAAATTACATAATATATAAATAAAATATGATAACAGATAAAAAATAATTACTCTTGTTATGTAATCAAGATAAAAAAAAATACTCCTACGTGATTTCTGCACCACGATGCGACATGTTGTGTTGTTTTAGACTATAAAGGGTAACTATTTTTACGGAGAAATAAATCGTTTATTTTATTTATATTTTAAGAGTATATATTAAAAATGTAATAAATATTTTTTAATAATTATTTTATATAAAAATTATAAAAAAAGTTATATTTATTTTAATAGTAATGATATGTAAATTATTTTAGTTAGTTAAATAATTGATTAATTTAAAATTAATATTTACACTTTTTATATAAATTAATTAATATGGTACTTTAATTACATAATTAACTTGCATCATAAGGACACTTATTAATAGATCTTACAAATAAGTTGAATAAGGTGATTTTGGATTAAATCACCTCAGATTATAAATTTATCCTATTAGGTCGTTTTGGATTTCAAATTAAAGGAAATCAACCTATAACTCATCTATATAGGGAGTCAAGTGAATCTAACTTTTTGAAGAATTAAAACTATAATTATAATTTTTCAATATTTTCTTTAATTTTTTTAAAATAATATTAATTAATTATTTAGTAAAAAATGTTAAATTAATATTGACACTAATAAATTGATAAATAATAATTATTTTATAGTATTTAATTTTATTTTATATTTAAGAATTAAAATAAAAAATATAATTATTTAAAAATTTAAATTTACAAAAATTATTTAATTTTTATAAAAACACTTTGGATTTACCTGACCAATCTAATTAATTAGTTTTGAATAATTTCAATTTAAATTATATTAGATTCCAAATTAATAGCTTAAGTTTATGAGTCAACTCGTAATATATGAATTAGGTTAGATATTCGGATTAAATTCAATTTTATAAGTATGTGTTAGAAAAAAAAATCATGTTTAGAAGATGTGAGAATATTCCTTCTTGTTGTATAATCTTAACCCAAAAAAAAAAAAGATAAAAAATGTGGGAATCGCGGCCCTATCTTCATCATTGGATTGGACCGATAGAATCCATGTGATGTAGCTGTCTGGACTAGGTGTACAAAAGATCTTTTTTGGAGCAGCTGCAAGTCAGTCCAAAATGCTTGTTTTGGCAGTTTGTTTTTCTTTTCGATTTAGTCCATAAACTTTTCAAGTCTTGTTAACCTCATGTACTGCCATGTTAATTTTAACCATTTGTAGTTTGTTTGGTGGAAAAATCAAGGGGAGATACTGAGGACAAGGATATCTTAATCAATAGAAATAATATATCTTACAAATACTTACTCCTACTTACATCTAATCACATATCATTCAAAAGTTGTTAATGTGTAATAGTACCATTAGCTTAGATATGTCTGAATGAATGTGCATTTTTTCTTTTGTTAAACAATGTACAGGCTACTTGGGATTAATTTTTGAGTAATAATAGGGAGGTCAAAATTTTGGGACAAAAATTTAAGACCAAAGATATAATTTATATTACGTCATTAAATTAGTTGATATATATAATGTTATATGTTTTTAAAAAATAAAAAGAGTCAATTATCAAATAATATAGAGTTTATATTCTAATATTTTAAATTACGTAACTTATATCACATTATTAGTGTCAAATTTTAGTTTTATTTATCATTATTTTTATTTTTTTCAAACAACCTTAAAAACACACCCTATAAAATTGTGGTTCTCTTGTAAATTTCATCTACAATGGTTGTAATTTTTTATTTTTAAAATTTAAATAATTAAAATTAGTAATTGATAATCAAAATTAAAAACTAAGAATGATAATTTACTGGATATAAATTTTTACAACTAATACTCAAAATTTAAATTTAACTACTTTATAAA